CAGTGGACAAGTAACACCCGGGGATGGCAATGACCACTTACAGCAATGGAAATCACCCAGAGAGAAAATCAGCAGACACTATGGATTTACAGTACATTCCAGACTTCAAATGGAGCTAACAGAAACTTACAGAATATTCCATCCAGTAGTTGTAGAATTCTTCTCTATTGCATATGATAATCACATTAGAAAAAAACAAATCTATACAAAAACATTTGTTTTGGTGGGATTCCAAACTAAGTTCCCATAAATACCTTTTCTGACCTCAAGTAAACAAGCAATAAAAGAACACTGACTAGCAGAGCTGAGTAGAAAAGCCAAAGAATTAGCCAAACCATTGACACATAGCTCCCATGTTCACAGTCAAAACATGTAACAGGGAAAGGACAATTTCTTCAATTAATGGTGCTAAGAAAAATGGCGACTACACTCAAAGTACTAAACACCTCATCTCATAGGAAATGCGATCAGCTGAAAGTATTAATCACTAAATGTTGTACTGAAACTATGAAAATACTAGAAGAGAGTGTGAATGCTACATGACTGATCTAGTGAGGACCTTTTAAAGATCTCAAAAAGTACAAGCAATAAAAGCAAAAAGATAAATAAATAAAAACAAAAAATTTGGGTCTTATCAAACTGAAACTTCTGTAACAGCAAAAGAAACAACAATGACAAGGAGCTACAGAATAGACGAAAACACTAATATCTATAAAAATATTAAATCCCAGAAACAAAATACCTCAAAAACAATCTGATGTTTTAAAAAGAGCAAAACGGGGGTTAAGGAATGGCTCACTGGGTAAAGATGCTGGCCCTATGAGCGTGACAACCCGAGTACAAGCTCCAGGAACTATACAGAGGAAGAAGGAAAGAACCAACTCTACAATGCTGCTGACTGATCACCATACACACTGTGGTGTGTAAGCACACATCACACACAGGTACACACTCACATGCAGCAATAACAAATACATGTTTAAAAGACAAACACTATGTGATCTCATTCATTCACCTGGAAGGTCTAATAGCATAATGACTATATTCAACAATAGCATACTGTGTATTTCTGACAGAGGAAAGAATTTTGAGATTTCTCTGGACAAAGAAAGGGTAAAAGTTTAAGATACAAAAACATGAGTAGTTCTGAGATTTCACTAAAGTAATGGATATTAGTTACCTTGATTTGGTCATCATACAATACATACATGAGTGGAAGCAATACTTTGTACCCTATAGATGTGTTCAATTCAGAACAAACAAAGTGTCAGAAGGAAAACAAAGAGAACTTTCATTATGGAATTGGAAACATAGATAGGCTTTGAGACCAAGACCACATCTTCCGGTGGCGGGTCCCAAGGACACATGACTAATTTGTGGTCAATGGAATGGTAACGAAACAGACAACAACTAATGAGCCTGAATCCTAACATGTACAGTACTTCATCAGTCCTGGAATGCTCCTTTGGAGGTTCATTAGAGAGATTGGGGGTGGGGGGACTACTTGAACTTAAGCCTTGCTTAGTTCTTCTATAAAAAAACTTAGCTGGTCTAGCTCCCAGTATCAGCTGCTTCAACAAAATGAAACTATGTGAGCTCTGCATGGTCACATACATTTATGATTCCACTCAGGAGGCAAAGTAAAGAAGGCCTGGAGATTGTGACCAGCCTGGTATGCACAGTGAGACCCTTTCTCAAAACAACTTCAAAACTCTTTGGGACACCATGAGATACTACAATCTTCAAGGGGAGAAACTCAAGTTCTTGCTGTTCAGTATGATGAACTTAGATATCCTACAAGAAAAAATTATTATGTTCATGTTCACATAACCAGTTCTCTTAATTTCTTACACATTTGACAGCTAAACTTCACTACAGATATATGATCACAAGTTAATTTATAAAGACACTGGTAAAAAGCTACAAAACACACACCTTCAGGTTCATACTTCAGCTTTAATTCATCTAGCTTAGCTCTCAGTTTGATATTTTCACTTTCTGAAACTTGCAGGTGTCTTTCATTTGCAAACAGTTTCCGTTCAATATCCAGGGCCCGCTGGCTCTCAAATAATGCCTTCATTCTCTGTATAGATAGTTCACCTTTTGTGTCCTCATTTTCTTTGCTAAAGTAATAGAAAAGAACAGCTAAAGGGTATTAAAATAATACATAGTATAAGCATGATGAAATAAATCTTGTGTATTAAAAAGGCATTTCTCTGAGTTTTTAGTAATAACGAAAAGAAATAATAAACAACTAAAGCGAGCGTAACTGTAACCCCCATAAGACTTTCAGATTCTTAAAGAAAACAGAGGGAGAAAATATTTTTACCAAATGCACATATGCATATTTTTGAATTACATGAAATTTATTCCTGAAATTTGATGGAGAAACTTACGAGTTCTTTTCACTTACCAATCAAAAAGCTAAACACAAAAGAAATGCATATTTTATAGAAACTAATATGCTACACAAAGATATTTTTATTGACTTTCTTCTGGATTTTTGACAATTAAAAACAAACAAAAAAATCAGTAAGCAAGAAAAACCCTTCATCTTTGTATTCACAGTCCCAAACACTTACTTTAACTTATCAAGTTTTAGTTGAAGTAAATCTGCATAATAGGTGCTGTCTTCTAGAGTACAAAGGTTGGCTGATGTAGAAGGCTTAGATTCCATACTTTCATATAAGTTCTAATGAAAGCAAAAAACTCTTATTACAAAGAGTAGACAACAGATTAGGTTTGCTGTAACAGCAGCAGCCACCACTAAGCAGGAACTCATTAGTTTACAGTCATTAAGCTAAGAACCATCCTCTTAACTTACAAAGTAGGGAGAATTAGCAATTCTCTTTTCGAATAAGGAAAGTGGCTCAATGTGACATGGGCATGAAAATAACACATGCTTAATTCTGAAACTAAAGCTTCCATCACTAGTCCCACAGCTCCCTCTCCTAGCTTTTAGAATGGAAGAAGCAATGACTGCTGGTTCAATTCTAGACTTCAAAGAAAAGCTAAAAAATGGAAAAATACAGAGAAGAAATCCTTGGTTTTTGTTTTTTTGTATTCCCTCATTCCCAGTACTGAAGAAATTTTTTTGTTTCTCTGGGGAAGTGGGTATATTTGCTTAAAAATTTGGAAACTATTTTAGTGAATGCAAAAACCCAACTCTCCCTGATTTCGAATTAAGTGCTCAGCTAATTAACGGAGGCACACCGCTGCCAATAACACAGCATACATTTAACAAAACTGTCATCTTTTCAACTGTTTTCTAAGAGATGGAAGCAAAACTTAATATTTAATGATAGATTAATGGCCACACTACAGAATGCTTAAGGGATCATTAACATTTACAACATCTGTTACCTATATAAATTTGAATCTTTCACTAGAAGCTTAATGAAAAGATACTAATGTTCCCTAAGGTAATTAAAAACTTTGAAAATTTGTAAATGTAATGTAATCCTACGAAACAGCACCAAATAGTTCTCTCTGATGTGTGTGTGTGTGTGCCTGCATGTGTTGTGTGTACATCAGACAAGAGAAAAGCAAACATGTAAAAGCAATCAGAACACTATGAAGAAAAACAAGAAGAACTAAGTCTAAGAACAAAAGCATATACTACACAACCTCTGCAACTTAAACAATCTAGTAATGCTGTACAGAGATCAACCAATATACAGAAAATGTCGAAAGGTTCCTGCACATATAGAAAATTGTTATGTGACAAGCCTGGCATCTCATTGGGGCCAGATTTAACAAATGATGCCGGGACTGACTTCATAGCCTACATATAAGACTGTCATGAGCTCAAAAAAATTCAAACACTGGAACACTGTACTGAAACTGGAGGCTAATTGCATAATAAACTAGACAAGCTAAAAATATATTGAGAAATTCAATTCAAACTTGGGCTGCATTTTTAAAAGATGTAACATATACCTTAAATTTCTCCAGATTTTTAATTTCACCTAAAAGCTGTTTTATTTCACCATTCTTCTGTTCCAACATGGCAAACAACCGTTCTTGCTGCTCAAAATCGGTTTGAGAGCCCCTCATCCTCAGCAATGTGGAGATTTGTAACTAGAAAAACAATCACCCCCAAAAGCAAAATCAAGATCCCGGTAAGCATATTTCTGCTATAATTTCTGTTTTTTGCTCCACTGATTCAACCTGGAAAATAAATAGAACTGTTTCATCTCAAAATGTGAAAACATTTGCATCAAAAGTTTTGTTGTGGATAACTTTCAAGTACTAATTTTGACTACTTTTCTATGGTATCTGAAGTCTAAGATAATGTTTATGTGTCTGTGAAATGTACATGAAACTACATGCTGAGGTCTGGCAGCATGCCATTCAGATGGGACATGAGCCTGACCAAACATCACCTGCTATTCATCACTTGAATTAACACTATGGGTCTACTGGGGGTTTTCTAAAAATTGTAATAAATGGGGAAATTGTTACATTATTCACAGAAATTAATGATAAAGATGCCTAAGTGTTTTATTACATGTTAGGTTCAGGACAACTCTAAAGAGGTTCTGGCTATCAGCTTCCCATTTACACATGACAATACTCCATCTCAAGTAGCTCATCTAACTCCCACATTTAATTACTGAAGTTCCTCGTTGCTTTAGTAGACACTTATGGAGGGAGCCTTTCTAGCAATCCATTATTACCTTAACAGCATCGGGCACAAGGGAGGAGGGTCAGATCCAAAGGACTGGTACAGCTAGCTAGGACTATTGCTTTCTCACTGCTACAAGCTTTTCCATTACCTCTCACTTGACTGCGATGAGGAAATGAAGATAAAAAGAACCTTACAATGCAAACAGTCTTGAGTTAATGAGCTGCAGTCATAAGAGGTCATGAGTAGTACCGATCTCAGTAAAAAAAAAAAGCCTTGTGTGAGAGCTGGTGAGAGAGCTAAGTCTAGATGAAGTAGGAAACAGTGTAACGCTCAAGAGCATCACCATGGTTTGCACAAACAATAAAAAAACTAGTGCTCATTCCAAACGGACAAGATTCACTGACTACCTGTTGAGTCAGGGAATAACCACTAATGCAATTTGCAGCTGCCTTCCCAAGGTGAGTTTTTAAATATAAAGAAACATGCAATTCGACAAGTGATTACATTATATGCTTTCTGAAGGAAAACAGTTTCCTGTATATATTTGCTAAGACAAAGCAGATTTAAAGCCTTTACCAGTGATGAGTTTATACCTTCATCTTGTTCATCTGATCTCTGGTGAATGCATTTTGCTTCTTCAGTGACTGATATTTGACTTTCATCAAGTTGAGCTGGCGTTCCATAGCGGCCCTTCGATCCTCCACCTGGAAAACATTAACACGCTTGTTCTTGTAATAGATGAAATGCCAACTTAGTCAAGTTGGTCATGAGAACACTTGCAAGTACCTCTGCAAACAGGGAGTTTCCTTTACTGCTGGGATCCGAGGCTTGCTGAAGTGCATTGTCCAACTGCACCTGAAGGTCTTGATTTTCTATTCGAGCTTTCTAGATTGAGAAGAAAACAGTTTCAATACTAGAGCTCAGCAAGAGGGCACTTGGCTACCATCTGTAAGCTCAACAACACTCTCACCACACCTCTAAGGCGTTATAATACGACACTGCTTCCTTCTCTCGCTCCTCCTTTTCTTCTTTCAGCCGGTCTACCTGGTGCATTAAGGAAGTGTTGAAGCATTCTAGTTGCTCTTGTTTGTACTGCAGTTCATTGACCTCCTCTTTGAGAGCAGCCTATTCAACAGGGATACAGACAAGATTTCTCCTGAATAATCGCTCACACAGCAGGCCACTCATCGTATTGGTTCCCACCTCACAATAAAACAAAACCAGTCAAAGGTTGCCAAGTATATTTTAAAATGTTTTTAATTAGTAACTTTTTAACAGAGAGCCAGGGAAAATACTTTGGAAACTGCCCCTTTTTCCTTTGAATTTTAAGTTTTAATTATCCAGTTTAAATGAAAAAAATTTACATTGATGTGCATTTTAATTTCCACTGTGCTAACATTGTGTATTTGGGCTTTTATGACCAATATAATGTCAGAATAAAAAAAGCCAGAGTTTCTATAATGTAAAATATGCCTTAAGTAATCATAAAATAGAAACTATTTTATGAATGAATTAATCCACTTGAAAACTGCAGAGTGCTTTTTGGTTACATCAATAGCCATTTCAGTCAGTAAACTGTTCCTAAGAACAGCTACAAGAACAGGCAGAACTATTCTAATGTAAAACACCTGAGATATAAATTACCTTCACACCTTCCATTTCAGTTAGCTCAATCTGAAGGGCCAGCACCTCCGAAGACACGCTATTGAGCATGCGCTGCTCAGACATTAGCCGGAGCTCTTCCGACTTGTGAGCAAGAACATCCTTCTGGTGATCCAGCTTCTGCTTCAGCTGCTTTTCACTTAACCTCGATTCATCTAATTCCACTTTGAGTTTCTCTAACTAAATAAGGAAACAGAAAGAGTTTCACAACCTTTGAACTCAAGGTTCCTTGAGCTTCCTTCCAGAAAACTAGATTTAGAGTTTATACCTGATTTTCAAGATGCTACTCTATAGAAACTCACTGGATCTGAGTGACATGAGCAAAACAACTCCCCACCCCTCCACCCGCAGTGCTGGGAACTGAACACAGGGACTTGGGTTTACAAGTTAAGTATCTCACCAAGTTACATTCCTACGCACTAAGCAAATTTTAAAGTGACCTATACTGTTCTAGAAATTCAGGAACAATCTATACTAGTCATCCAAGTAGATCTTGTTTGCTTAGAAGCAACTGAAGGTATAACCAACCATGAGGCAGCTGTAAAGAACAGGAAGCAATGCTCATCCCCAGCCCTTAAGAAGAAGAGGCATGGGATAACAATGATGCAAGCAGGTAACCTGGTTAGAAGACTACAGTAGCGTGATGATGGTCTAGACTACAGGGATAGGAGCTACCATGAAATTTTATAGGTCAACCCCTTGGAATTCAACGACAGATTAAATGTGAAAAATAAGAAAAAGATGAGTAAACCTTGAGAATTTAAAAACAGATGGTCTGAGAATATCAGCAACACCATTTTTAAAAATATACTTTCTTCTATAGAAAGGCCATCTTTATAATTATCTTTGCTTTACCTAGTCCATCTATTTCCTCTATCATATCTGCTTAGGTAATTAGGGCTTCTGCTAATCCATGCAGGATTGAAAAACAATACATCATTTCCAGTTATCTAAGTCACAAATCAGGATAGCTGCAAACAGGATTACCACCTGTCAGAGCCACAGGTAAGATGATTCTGTATTGCACAAAAACATCATTTACTTAGATATGATTTCACTGATATCATTATTCAAAATGTAAAATTTTGTTGGAGTTTAATGAAAGATTATAGGTAGAAACAGACATGGAAAACTAAGATACTATAAATACTAAAAATTGAAAATCAGACTTAAAAAAAAAACACGTTTTCACAGAGTAGGATCTGAAAAGAAATCAGGGTACACACTCCATATGAAGAAAAACATAAACAGAGCCCTAGACTTCTTAGAGGCAAAGCACAGGACAGCTGGGGGTTCTGAGAGTGAATGGATGTTCACTGAACTACTCTGTGTTTACAATGGCACCAGTATATAAGGAATCACTAGACCATGGGCACAAACTCAGTACCAGGGTTTACTGTCAGGCAGCCTCAATTCAAACAGTAGCTGATAATTTCTAGTTCTTATTTTGCTCAAGCTCCTCAGTTTGCCTGGTCCTTAGCATCCTTGTCTGTCATAATGGAAATAAGGTTACATCTTTCACAAAATACTTTTGAAAACTGGATCTTCCATATTTTTTTTCCATAAAATCATTAACTCCTGAGCACATTAGCTCACAAGACAGTACTGGTTTGCATGCAGAGTAGCAAAGCATTACTAGCTGTAGGAACTGCTACAGAATTATTTAGTTATCTTACTAAGTGACCATACTGATCAACAATATTACAAATACAAATATTCAGATACCAAATTTAAATAATTAATAAACAATTTCATTTCATTAGAAGGCAAGTATATATACAAATTCCTTTAATAGCTTATTTCTCAGTATTTCCACTCAAAACATTAAGATAAAAAAACTTACTTTTGGCCATTTTGCATAGAAGTACTTAAGCAAGCCCTCCCCACACACCCTGCACCACCAACCAGTACTTAGAGATGTCTACACAAACACGGGATATTTTGCTCTGATGCACAGATCCAAACCTTGTCTCTCAGGTCATTCACTTCCTGCCTGTGGCTTCTGTGTAGTTGCATTTCTAACTGCTCCAGCTGCATTTTCTGCTGTTGTTTCACAGTTTCACACTCACAGCTCAAACTCTCTAACATTCGACTCTTGAGCTCAACTTCTCTTTGTAGGGCATACTTCTCTTGGTTATAATTCTGGAAACACATTTAATTGCATAAAAACTTAAATCATTAGATATTAGTTAGCATCTTAAACTGGTTCGTACCTGTTTAATTTGCTGCCATTCCATTCCATGTACACTTCAACATCTAGTAAAAGTACCAGGTAACAAACTCAGTAACAGAAAACATGGTGCTTACCTTAGATTAGTCTAGAACAGACACACATAAAAACTGTCAGTCACAGTGATAGGTACTGAGGTACTGAGGGCACGGGCGGGCTAAGAGGAGGCTTTTTGTTTTTTTAGATCCTGTCAAACACCATATGGAGGACCAAGGAGACATTTAATTCTACTTAATAGTATGCAAAGAACCCCAAAGAGTTATGAGGTGATTCAAAGACAACCTCTCAAGTTTATGCCTTCAAGGAGTCTGCAAGTGTCACATTCTTAGTTCAAGTGCCCAACACAGAGACTCCATGACAGCTAAGGATTCTTTTCAAGTATGTACCATAATTCTGAGTAATATAGCCCTTATTTTTTTCAACAACTGAGTACCACTATGGATAATACCACTATGAAATTATCTATTGGAAGGAATGTTTTATGAGTGCATATATCACCATGACTAAGGAGGCAGTGCAGGATGTCCAGATGGCAAAGGCTGTCACATAGTAGAGCATGGAAGAACTTTGAAGAGGAGGCTTTCCAAGGGAACTGATGTATGAACAGATGTTCAAAGTAGCAGTAGGAAATGCTCATGGATACCAGATGCTGTGACGCACAGAATATAAGGAAAGCATGTTCAACAATCATACTGTGCCAGGTATCCAAATTCCAGCACAGCATCAGATGTCATTTGCATCATATCTGCAGGAGTTATGTTCCAGAACCCCAGCCTGACACCTAGGTCCTCAAATGGTACCAAATCCTACAGATACCATCCATGCATACCCACCCTCACCCATGCAGTACTTATCCTGACAAAATTTAATTTCAAATTTGACACAGTAAAAAATTAATGGTAAAACCAATAATAAAAAGAGCAGTTTACTGTAAGTTTGAGACCAGTCTGGCCTACAAGAGCTAGTTCCAGGACAGCCTCCAAAGCCACAGAGAAACCCTGTCTGAACCCCCCCCCAAAAAAAGCAGTTCGTTTAAAAGCTATGTCATTTTTCTCCTCTCAAAATCTTACTGTTCTTGTGATGCTAGACAGTATAGTACCCAGGTGACAAAATGAAGTGTGGCCAGTGTAAGGCATGACGACACAGTGTTACATGACTAATGACCTTACAAGATGTTGAAAGGAACATTATCTGCTTCAGGTATCCTGGACGGAGAGTCCAGTCCCAGGCAGGATGCAACCATTTCAGCTTTATCATTTATATATGGAATTTTCCATGTATTACTTATGGACAACTGTATGGTTGAAAGTACAACTATGGATGTGGGGTGGGGTATGTTAATGTCCATGCTGGAGGTATAGCAATTGCTTCAGTTCACTATCAAGGAAGGATTAAAAAAAAAAAAAACCACAGCCTAATGGCTTATCAATTCTTACTGAAAGAAAAACAAAGCAAGGATGTTTTACTAGCACTCAAATGCTCCTAGTAAGCATTCCTGTTTGATAACGAAAAGCTCTTCCTTATATAATGCTTTGAAACAGCAATGGAATGGATGCAAAGGAGAAATACTGAATTAACCTTTACTTTCAGTGTTGTTACTAAAAATTGATTTACAAAATGAAAACATCTAAGGTTAAAAAGGACATTGTAATTATTTCTAAATGTGTTTTCTTAAAAAAAAAAAACTAAGACAAGGCAGGATAGAGAAGGGATTATGGGGAGGGACAATACAGAAAGACTTCTAAAAGAAATTACTGTAAAAGCACCCTGAAATGTATGTATCTATAAAAAGAGTTTTAAATGGTGTTACCAATTAATTGGGGGCAGGTGCAATACCCAAATCAGACATCACAGACTACTAAGTAAACTCAACACCAGGAATGGGTTACATATTTTTAATTTGTTGGCCAATGGGGTCCTATATATGACCCGTCCCCCATCATTACAGAATATTACCAATGCTATTGGTTGCCCTCCACAGCTTGCCCTAAGACCCTATTACTAAAGACATGGAATAATCTAGCTGGTGCTCAGCTAAAAGCTTCATCCCACTGGCTAGTATTCATAGTGTTGAAAAGTGTTGAGTACAACACCGGAGGAGAAAAGTAATAATCACTCTTACCCAGCTACAAACCCCACATGCCACAATTTAAGGACTTGCCTGCAAGTTAGGCCAACTGGCTCAATAGCTGCTTAAATGTCAGGGGAATAATCACCCACTTTTTCCCTGGATTTGAGCCCCCTCATCCCATTCTATAAGATGAAACCCATACCTGCCACTGTTAATGAGAACAAGAACCTGGGGCTACATAGGTCATTGAGTCCTAGGGGAAAACCTGCCATTATTATTCTGCTAAATGAACAACAGCAATAAAACAACTCCTAATAACATACTGCTATACCCATAGTTCAGTATATCATTCAACTCTTATCATGAAATTTTCTTACAGTAAATGGTAATTAACAAAGAAAATTGCAATGGTAAGGGGATAAGAGACTTTGGAATGCTCAGCCCTAAATGGGATGACATATCACATCCCTTTCTTCCAGGTTCAGAGATCCATTTGGAAGAGGAGGAAGAACGACTTGAAGGTAGTAGATGACCTCAAGGAAACATTTTTCAGATACAACAGGGCAGATGCACACATGAACTCACAGAAACTATGACACATGTACACAAACTCCCGGCAGACAAAATTCCACAACAGAGGAAGGGAAGAGGACACAGAGACCCACCCCTAACCAAGAAGCTACTTGCAACTGATAGATGCAGGGAGAAGGAAAATGAGTTTCTTCAGTGGAGTGATACTGGGTATATCAATTACATTCTAGGATGTGACCCATACCAGGAGTAGTCAGTCAACACAAATTGGACTCCATGAGGAAAAAAAAAATCAAAGAAGAAATGAAAACATCAAAATAAAACAAAACAAAAATAAATAAACAAAATTCAATAAATTAAGAAAAATGGCTGGAATTATTTTTGTCACTCCCCTTCTCCCCCGACCTCAAGCTCTTCTATTTTAAAGGAAACCTAAATTTGGTGAGCTATTTTCAAAACAACTGTGTAACATGACTTTATTTCCAATCTGAGGTTTGTAATCTTTGTTCTATTATTTGACACTGAGAGCTTATCATAAAACAGTTCAGTACTTGTAAAAATGACAACTGCCATTTAGTCATTTTTACTTGTTATATTTAAACTTCTGAGACTCAAATTAAAATGCCAAGTATTTAGTATTATACTGATTTAGTGATTATTTTAAAAATATTTGTGTGCCAGGTAACAGGGGTGCATCAGTGAATAAGAGTAGACAAAATTTCCTCTCATGCAGTTTGTAAACTGAGACAAGAAGTGCCCCAGGAATCAAGAGCAAATTTGAACAACTTTACATTACACAGTCAGTGTTAGCTCTGATGACATGAAATCAACCCTTTCCTCCCCAAGCTGTCATGGTCCTTCATCACAGCAATAGAAACCCTAAGATGTAGTCAAGCCCTTAGATTTGTTGATGGATAAAATGTGGGACCTCCATACTTCAGGCTCAAGCAACTGGATGAATTCCAATCCATTTACTGAAGCAAGAAACCATTCAGTTAGCAGACAGGGAATGAGCTGTTCTTTCTGTGTCAAGCTTGAGATGTCTGTTAATGGCAGGTACTTGAATACACTAATTTAGTCTTCAGGGAGATCTAAAGGCTTGGTGAGATGCCATGGAGCATGTTTAGAACTATAAAAGAAGTGAGGTCACGTAAATAGAGCGTAGACTGAACAAAACCTGGCAGTAAATGTAGCGAAGGGAGCAAGCATTATTTGACTACTCAAACCCAGAGCACACTGTTGGAAAGAACACTGGAAACTCATTTAGTTCATTCTCCTTCCCTAAGCCCATCCCTGTAGACAGATGTTCAGAATCCTACCTCAGTCACGGTCATCATTTCTTCATGACATTTATCCAACTGATTCTGCAACTCCGTTTGCCTCTCCAATAGCTGTAAGCCATACTGTGCAGCTTTCAATCTCTCGTTTTCACACTCCTTGAGCTTGCCTCGAAGATCTGTGATATCTGCCTCCATGATTTCTGTTTTCAGTCTGCTGGAAAGAGAGAAATGCAACTACTTGAGATCAACTTAGAACTAAATGTAGTGGTATCAGAGCAAGAGAAGAAACATAGTCAATACTGTCATATAAACCCAAAGGATATTAGATTTTTGTTGCTGATTTGCAAGACAATGCTTCTAATCAACAGTAGCAAAGTTGGTATTGAGAAATGACTGAACACTACAAAAATAGTGAAGGAAAAGTATGTTTCTTTCTTCCTTTCTTTTTTTTTTTTCCTCCTTTTTGGGGATGGGGAAGATTTGAGACAGGGTTTCTCTGTGTAGCCCTAGCTGTCCTGGAACTCTCTTTGTAGACCAGCCTGGCCTGGAACTCAAAAGATCCGCCTGCGTCTGCCTCCCAAGTGCTGGGATTAAAGGTGTGTACCACCACGGCTCGGCAAGAGATCTTATCACTAGAAGATAAGCATAATTTCTCACAAGGCTCAAAATTGAATACCTTTTTTTTTGGTTTTACGAGACAGGGTTTCTCTGTATTGTTTTGGAGGCTGTCAGTCCAGCCTGGCCTCGAACTCATGGAGATCCGCCTGCCTCTGCCTCCCGAGTGCTGGGATTAAAGGCGTGCGCCACCACCGCCCGGCCAAAATTGAATACTCTTATGACAGAAGGTCACAAAGTATTCTCAGGTCTGATCGTGAAGTAAACGGGAAGCCAAGAGCACATAATGTTCTGGAAACCAGTAAGCAAAATTCCTTCAGGACGTGGGAACTGGCAATCATGGCAAAGGGTGCTAAGTCAAATGAGGTGAGAACCTGGAGACTGTCCTGGATTTCAATTAATGCAGACCACTGGCCCAACGGCTGTTCTAGAAGAAGTGGGCTGAAAGCCTGACTGGGATAGATTTGAGAGAGAATGGCAGGTGATTACAAGGGTGTGGGTAAATGACATAAAAATCAAAGTGGAGCTCCAAAGCCTAGTATTCCATTCACTTCTCAGTCCAACCTCTCAAAATGTTACCATTGCTAACTCTATAATTATTGTGAAATAAAATGAGATGCTATAGCGAGAATCCAGAGTGTGTGTGTGTTACATTTTGCAGCAGTTAATTCGGGCTGCATCACTGGCTAGGGGCTATGGTACTGGAGAATTCAGACTGAAGGCTACCGAACTTATAAAGACCACCCAGCACCCGCATAGGCGGTCCGGCCAAAGACTACACCGCCCCGAAAGGCGATTCCTGAGAACTCAGGTTCCGGGAGAGCAGGCGTTCCGCCTGCGGCCGCCCGGTTCTCCCCTCCCGCCGCTGGCTCGCCCTTACCTCCCTCCTCAAGCCTGCAGGCTGCTGCAACCAGAGGCCGGTGCAGAAAGCACCGGGCGCCCGGATTCGTGACAATACGTCCACCTCAAGACAGAAAGACAGTCCTGTTCACTCAGCTGAACCACTGCTAAACAAGGACCCGGGTTTATTTGAATACTGTTCCCGCGAGAACTCGTATTTCTCACGAGATGTCTCGTCCAATCCGCGCCTCCGAGACAGAGAGGAGCGCCTTGCAGCGACTGCGCAAGTGCGTGCGGCTTTTCTGCTAGCCAGGTCTTCCGTGAGCTGTTTTTGCTGAGTGACCGCTTTTAAGTGGTCGTGTTTCTGAGGTTTTAATTTTTTTATTCTGTTTATTTATTTAGCGTCGTCTTTATCAGTGACGCTGTCAGCCCCACACTGGCCAGCGTGATAAGGCTTTTTTGTCTCCCCGGTGCCAGGACAGTGTCACATTCCACACGAATCCTCTCAGTTAGACCCACAAACCATCTTGCCGAGTCCAAGGCATCCTTCAGTGTGCACAGAGGAAGTCAACGCCTCCCCCAAAGAAATGTGACCTGTCAGAGTAATAGAACTGCTGTTCAAACGAACGCCAGCTGTTCCGCAGGACAGCGGGGGTGATTCGTGTTTAAATAGAAATGTCTTGTAAATGTGCTTATTCTTTAAACATTTAAGCACTTGGAAATCTGGAAAGTTCTAGTACCCAGTACGTGGCGTCGCTGTTTATCTGAGGACTTGGCTCTGCCTCTTTTATCATCAGGGTTTACTATGTTGAATCCTCCCCATCAGTAGACGAAGGTGCTGAAATGACTCCCATTGCAAAATTTAATTAGAATTTCCCTGGCTCCAGTCAACCATAACCCCACTTCGTTTTTCTTATATAACAAAATGTCTGGAAAAGGTTTTTCGCTATTCAGTTTCTTTTTTTTTTTTTTTTTTTTTTTTTTGGTTTTTCGAGACAGGGTTTCTCTGTGGCTTTGGAGGCCGTCCTGGAACTCGCTCTGTAGACCAGGCTGGTCTCGAACTCACAGAGATCCGCCTGCCTCTGCCTCCCGAGTGCTGGGATTAAAGGCGTGCGCCACCAATGCCCGGCTCCAGTTTCTATTATTATTGCTATGATGATGATGATGATTTTTGAGACAGGGTTTCCATGTACTTCTGGAAATCCGGGAACTTTTCCCTGCAGACCAGACTGGTCTTGAACTCATGGAGATCCGTTTGCCTCTGCCTCCCCAGCTCTGGGATGCTATGAGAAGTGTTTTTTTCTGGATATATTTTTTTTAAGGTTACAAATCTAGTGGCAGTAAGCAGAGCCTTGAAAGCTGGTGGAACTAAGGAAGAATGAATTCAAAGGGGGAAGAGATCATGCTCAAGAAGTCTTAGAAACCACTTACCCTGTAATTGTTAAATGCAGTTTATAGAAGAACACTGACTTGGGCTAGTCTTCTACACTGACCCACCACACAAAATTAACGTGGTGTCACGCCGCATGGTGACTGGCCCATGAATAACTAAGCTTCAAGGAGATCCATCAGTGGGCAGATGATTCAAATCAGTAAGTGCTGACCTGGGACCAGTGGCGCCGTCTCCACGCCTCACTTGTTTCCTGTCCACAAATACTGCCTGATCTTGTTGTTCGCAGGAGTTGTATGAACTTCTTCTGACTCAGAGCTGCCTTATCTAGCATCATAAATAAAATTCAGTTATGGACTTCGTAAATTTTCGTTCATTTATTTATTTTTGGTTTTTCGAGACAGGGTCTTTCTGTGTAGCTTTGTAGATCAGGCTGGCCTGGAACTCACAGAGATCCACCTACCTCTGAGTGCTGGGAATGAAATCATGTGCTCCTGCCGCTGCCACCACCACCCATCCCTTTAATTTTAATTTAATTTTTTTTATGTTTTGGTTTTTAGAGACAGAGTTTCTCTGTGGCTTTGGATGCTGTCCTGGATCTAGCTCTTGTAGACCAGGCTGGTCTCCAACTCACAGACATCCGCCTGCCTCTGCCTCCCGAGTGCTGGGATTAAAGGTGTGCACCACCAGCACCGCTCCACTTATTTTTTATTTTTAGAACAATCTTGTTTTACATACCAATACAGTTTCCTTTCCCTCCTATCCTCCCCCTGCCCCCACCATCTTCCCCATCCCACCCCCAATCCATTCCTCAGAGAGGATGAGTCCTCCCATGAGGGATGATCAAAGTCTGTCACATTATCTGGGAGCACTTACTGACTGAGCCCCCCCCCCCATCTAGGCTGCACAAAGTATCCCTCCATAGAGAGTGGGCTCCAAAAAGCCAGTTCCATGCACTAGGGATAAATACTGGATCTTCTGCCTGTGGACCCCATAGACTGCTCAAGCCCCCCATTGACACCCACATTCAGGAGGCCTAGTTTGGTCTTATGCAGGCTCCCCAGCTGTCAGTTTGGAGTCAGTAATCTCCCACTTGCTCAGGTCAGCAGTTTCTGTGGGTTTTCCAGCATGGTCTTGACACCTTTGCTCATCACTCCCCCCTCTCTACAACTGGCCTCCAGGAGTTTGGCCCCATGCTTAGCTGTAGATCTCTGCTTCTGCTTCTATCAGCTACT